ATTAATTATTCAACGAATTTGACTAGACCAATTCTCTTGTACCCAAAAATATCTGAATTAAACAGTATTTCAACATCTTCTAATTTAATATTGATGACAGACAACTGTTGTTTAAAAATGTCATGAAATTTTTATTCTCATTAAGTATTAATAAATACTGTTTAATGTACACGCCTAAATTCACTGCAGTAAGTGCTAGCAGACGTGAATGTTAATTTAATTAACCCGTAAAATAGTGAGTCTCTTATAGACAGCTACACAATACACAGTGTATMATTCAAATGATGTCCTCATAGTAAAAGAAAAGTTTTTTCTATCGAACAATAGTGATAAACTACTAGATTGCAAACAAATAATTTAAAAAATAAATCAGCGAAAAACTAGTTACTAAATAGTAAAAAATATTGCTATTTAAACAATAGAAAACAATATAATGTGCCACAAATCGCACTATTTTTTAGTATCAAATTTTCATGATTTGTTGTTTACACTCTACGCAACATCACATCGTAAAAACTAGTTGAGGTTTGACGGGTTATGTGTAACAACTCGACATAGATTTATGTGCATTTTCTTAAGTGCGTGTTCATTTTATTGACGCAAGACTGCCATACGTCTTTTTTGTCTTGCTCCTGAATGTTGTACATTCTATATAGGRAAACTTCTATAAAATTATACGCTTTTCTATTAATGTGCCTGTTCCCTGCCCTTCCACCTCTTACCGAAAATTTTTTAAATCGTCTGCATTCGGGCACATTGCCCGCAGCAGACCGACACAAAAACTACCTCTATCGGCCCCTGAACTTTCCTTTAGATCTTCCACAAACTCGTGAGAAGGTATTTCATTTGGGTGAGGGTGAACTGTTAAGTGCATTGCTTGCGATGAAGGGGGAGCTTGTGCCGTGAAATTAAAAAAAGGAAATAGGTTCTCGGCTGGTTGTGTTGGGCAGTGGAAAAAACCGGATGGAAGTGTGTTTGGAGGTACGTGATTAGCGTTGAAAGCTGCAAAGGTGCTGTTTGTAGGAACGGCAGGAGATGTGTTGCTGATAGGAGATGCTGCAGGGGCGTTGTTGTTGCAGACGGCTTGAACACTCGAAATTTTTTCATTAATTTTTACGATATGTTTCATTTGATCCGCCAGCTGCATCTGTATACTTTGAATATCACTTTCAACTTTAGAAAGTTTCAACAGGACCGTTTCTTGAAACAATGCTTCACTTGACTGACCATTGCTTGGCAGGGAAAACGGTATAGGCATCAGCCCTGTAATATCTGTCGACGATCTACGGTTGGGTGGGGTAGGGGTTGAGTTTGGTGTTACTGGCTGTGGTGTTGGAGTCAGAAGGACCGGTCTCATGGTTTTGAGCATCTGGTCATCCTCATGACAGTGGATATCATTTGTGTTTTTAATTGACCTCTCTTGGCTCCATAGTACATGTTCTTCTTCTGAAAAATGAATGACAAGATTAAATAAAGGTAACAAGAGCAAACCGTGTTATTCGAGGTTACTAATATGTAATATATGAATCAATACAATGATTGCTTTAAAAAGAATAGAAGTCGGCCTTTCAATTAAAGGGCTTGCATGCATCCCTAATTCACTTCTATTTATTTTTTAACAAATTCTCCTCGATGCCCTTGCAAAAGAATGAGCTGGTTTATAATTAAAGTATTGATAACGGCAAATAAAGACTAACATTACCATTCACAGCTACA